ACCCTCAGAAAGACAGCCACTAGAGGCTGGATTAACCTTGCAATGTAAACATAGCAGTTTCTCTGAAACTGCTATGTTTACATCTGAAGGGTTAAAACCTGTGGGACCGGGGGCGTGGCCAACTGCCGAAGTAAGCGGTCGCATGGAGTGAGCGCTCCGTGCTTTGCATGACTTAAAAGCTCACTACTCACATCATACACCACCTCACCAGCGACTACCAAGCTTAGGAACTCGGTTCCCACGATGGCACCCGCCAAGCAAACCAAATTGACGGATCAAATCCGACCTGCAAGAAAAGACCGCGTGCGCCACCATTAGAACAACCACGCTTTTCACGAATTAGCTCGCCATCAACCACACAGTATGGATAACACCCTAAAAATTCTTTCCATGAATGTCAAGGGTCTTAACAGCCCACATAAACGCAGGTTGACAGCCCAGGAAATGGCCGGATCCAAGGCGGCAATAGTGTGTCTACAAGAGACTCATTTAAGCATAAGTAAACCACCTACCTTTATGGTCAAACAATTTGTCCAGGCCTACCATGCCATGTCCGAGAGAATAAATACTTCAGACTACAAAAAATATAATACAAAGAAGGCTACTAAAATGCCTATCTGAGAATAAATATGGGGATTTAGTTCCACCGTATGGCCATATGTTGTTAAGCCCACCACTACTTTCAGAGTACCCTAATATTGGTGGGTCCTACGCTAAAATGTGGGGGACAAATTAAATAGTACTAGTGTTGAAAATAACAAGTGTTAAATTAAATACTAATAAGAGCATAGTGAGTATACAAAAATAAGTGATGAAAGCAATTAAAAACAGTGTTAAAACTAAACAAATATGTTAGTGCTAAAATGAGTGCTAAAAAGTAGTGGTGGGCTTAACAACATATGGACATATGGTGGAACCAAATCCCCATATTTATTCTCAGATAGGCATTTTAGTAGCCTTCTTTGTATTATATTTTTTGTAGTCTGAGTGTGCTGCAACTATTTATTCTCTCATGTATGAAGTTTGGTCACTGTGGCAGCACCTTTCATGCAAAATGCAGGTCCCGGGAGTGCCCCTATCCTTTCTCTGTATACCATGCCATGTCCAAAACTAAATCCAAAGGGGTTTCAATATATTTTCACAGGGACTGGGTTTTCACGCCAGCCAAACAATACATCATTAAAGATGGCAGGCTGTTTATATTAGTGGGCTCATTAAACGGCCTCCAACTAACGATTGCCTCCCTGTATGCACTAAATGACACACAGAAAGATTTTCTGAACAAGGCGTTCCGCAAATTAGACCAATACAAAACAGGGCACAATATTGTATGCAGGGACTTTAACTGCACCCCTGACCCAAACATAGACATACAGAGGGTTCAAAGCCGACCCCCTAAGCAATCCTCACTCTCTCTGAGCCGACACTTGGCAAGCTTATTAAACTCTTCTGACTATTACGATGTATGGCGCAATTTATACCCGGGCGCGAGAGACTATACATTTTACTCCCCAGTCCACATGACATACTCCAGGATTGATTTATGCCTCTTTGACAAACGCACGATACCACACGCCATGGGCATGCACATTGGTCCTATCACATGGTCGGATCAAGCCCCACTGGTGCTAACAATGAAAATACCACACCCAGCGAGAGGGTGCTTGAATGAGGCCCTGCTGGAGAACCCGCAACATTTTACGCGATTTCCCGATACCCTAGACGCATACTTTAAGAGCCCACGCACATTGCGAAACCACACTAGCCAAACAATGGGTTACCCACAAGATAGTTATGAGAGGAGAATTTATCAAGCTGGGAGCCAACACCAAAAGAGCAGCGTGCACAGAACAAGCCAAACTCACTCAGGAAATAGCTGACACTGAATCTAGCCACAAATCAAACCATCCAAGCAAAACCATACACGCCTACAGATACTCAAAACCAAACTGCACGATCTGCAACTACAAACAACAGAGAAAGATATGCGATATCTGAAACAAACTCACTACACACTAGGAAACAAAGCAGGCAAACTTTTAGCAGGCCGTTTGAAACAAAAATATCTCCAGTCCAAGATTCCCAACATTTCCAAACGAGGAGACAAGCTTTACAACCCCAGGACATAGTGAACACACTAGCAGAATACTATGCATCACTTTACCAACTACACAAAGACCCAGAAACACACCAGCCTTCCGCAGCTGAGATAGACTCTTTCCTAGAAAGGGTTTTCCTTCCCTGCATTTCCCAGGACCTCAGCACATTCCTTACCAGACCCTTTACAGAAAAAGAACTCAGGGAAGCCATTAAATCACTCCCTAAGCACAAATTCCCGGGCCCAGATGGCCTCTCTAATTACTACTACAGCAAATTTACAGACCAGTTAGCCCCCCACCTCCTTCAACTGTTCAATGACATTAAGCAGACTGGAAAAATGCCTCGAGAAATACCGGAAGCATTTATTGTCACGCTACCAAATCCTAACAAACCTCCCACTCATTGTGCCAACCTTCGACCAATATCACTCCTCAATTCGGACACTAAACCATACGCCAAAATATTAGCAACAAGAGTTAAAGCACTCTTTCCCATGCTCATCTCCACTGAACAAGCGGGGTTCATGTTGGGAAAGCAGGTGGGGGACAACACCCGTCACTTTCTAGACCTCATTGACTGGGTAAACCACTCCTCTCAACAGGGCCTGGTGCTGGCGTTGGACGCCGAAAAGGCGTTCGGCCGCTTGCACTGGGGATACATGGAATGCACCCTGGCTAGGATGAGACTCCCACCGGCCTTCCTAAAAAGTATCATGGCCCTTTACCATCACCCATCGGCAAAGGTCTTCAGTACCGGCTTCCTGTCAGCACCCTTCACCATACACAATGGCACACGCCAAGGCTGCCCACTGTCACCACTCATTTTTATCCTATGTCTTGAGCCCTTGACGCGACTTATAAATGGCAACACACAGATACACGGATTGACAACCCCGGGCGGCATACAGAAGTTAGCTTTATTTGCCGACGACATACTCATGTTCATTACACACCCCATCAGATCCATCCCCGAATTCCTAGAACTTCTCAGAGAGTATGGAGGGGTATCATACTACAAGAATAACACCACCAAGACACAAGCACTACCGATCAACTTACCACACCAAACGCAAACACAGCTAACCTCTGACTACACCTTTGACTGGCGAAAATCATCCCTTACTTACCTGGGGATCAAACTGACGAAAACCCATCAGACCATTCTTAAAGAGAACCATTAACGCTTAGTGCACAAACTAAAAATGACCCTAGAAAAATGGGAGAACCTAGATATCTCCTGATTGGGCCGGGTAAATACGATTAAAATGATGGCCCTGCCCCACATTCTATACCTCTTCCGCACAATACCAATAACGCTTCCTAACAAACTGATCAAATTAATGCAATCCACCATAAATGCGCATGTATGGAAGCGAAAATCCCCAAGAGTGGCCCAGCGCAACCTAGGACTTGTCTACATCAAAGAGGGCCTGGGCCTGCCTGATATCAAGACATACTATAGGGCCTCAACTCTAGCACAGGGAGTACACATACTGAGGCTGAAGGACAATTCCCAAAAGCCACTGTGGCTGACACTTGAAGATGCCTGCCTGCACCCACAAAACACGTCCCACACACTATGGGCGTGTACCCTCACCAAACCTGAAGGGGTTTGGTGAGGGTACCCGGTTCCTGCTGAACTCATGGCGGATCTGGAGCTGTCTAATTCTGGATCCACACTTGCTCATCAGAGAAGTACCACTAGAGACCCTGACCATATTCTCTCCAGACCTGCCCATAGCGGGTTGGATAACCAGGGGCATACATAGGGTAAAGGACCTACTGGAGGGAAACAAGATCAAAACGTTCCCTGACCTCCAGCAACAATTTTCCCTACCCCAAAGGGACATGTATCTCTATCTCAGAACAAAAAACATATTACTACCTCACATACGAAGAATGAGAGAAGTGACCAAAGATCCACCCCTGCTAATCAATCAGGTCCTCACCACTAAACTTAGGAAACCACTGTCCCTGTGCTACAACGTGCTTATGGAGGGCCAATCATGTGAGAAAAGATCCTACATGATACAATGGGAGGGAGAGCTAGGCCCCCAACTGACTCTGGTACAATGGCACGAGGCAATGGCAAATACAAAGAGCGCCTCAAAGAGCCTCTTGCTGTGGGAGGCATACTGTAAAATTGCCATGAGATGGTACCTGGTCCCACATAGACTGTCACGAATTTACAAGAGCTCATCTGGGCTCTGCTGGTGATGTGAGGGGGGAGCGGGTACCATGCTACACATGTTTTGGGACTGCCATTTATTGGGAACATTCTGGACACAAATACAGGGCCTCATCTCGAGCACTACCAGCCTCCTTGTCCAGTTGCGACCAGAATATTACCTGCTACACATGATACCTGAACTTTCACTGCACCCCCATAAGAAAGTGTTAATAAACATACTCACCATAGCAAAGATCCTACTAGCCCAAAACTGGAAAAGCAAAAAAGTACCCGCCATAGAGGCAATCAAAGACAGAATGGATGGAATAGGCTCCTATGAGTGGATGGCTAGCAGGGTGCAGGGTCAGGAGAATAAGCATGATAAAGAATGGACAAGCTGGAAACTCAGGCCATGAGCTCCTGCCTCTCATAGAGTAACTAATAATTCAGACACTAATGATCACAGAGTCGACCCATCCAAATGTAGAAAATAGTGCCAAAGGGAATACAACTGACAACCACAAGAACCCTAGCTCGAACAAAAAGACACTGGGTAGCAAGGCTGGGGGACTCTAAGTCTCCACTCTCAAGTTAAATCCCCCTCCTCCCCCCAATGTTCCTGTTCTCCCCACAAAGTGCCAACACACTACCTAATGCACACATGTCACATCACGGCAAAAAAGCCACCATAGCCCAGGTGTGAAAAGCTGGCTCATATACATATGTAGAAAAAACAACAACGAGGGAACCGGCTGATAATCTCTACAAAAGTAAATAGAGAGAATATAGTGTAATACAGTTTACAGTATAAACATTGCGCAAATTGAAATGCACTCACTGGATTTTGGACAAATTGAAGCTTGTAAGGTGCCTTCCCCGATAGTATGGGGGGCCTAGGGAAATCCCCTGGATGTTTTCACTCCAACACAGGACTCCGGGTGAAGTTTGGAAAAATGGCTTTAATTCAATATTAAAATGTGTTTAAAAATAAATAAAATAAATATAAATAAGGTCCTACGCGTTTCGTCCCTTTAACAAAATAGGGACTTCCTCAGGGACCACAATATTAAGAAACAATTTGATACCATACAATCAAAGTACAGCCTAACAAATCCCCACCCGAAAAGTCCTTTAAATAGGGCATCTTAATTCAGTCACATGTTATCCTTAGACTCTCCTCATTGGTCCTCCATTAATAGGGTTCATCTGTTGCCGATCTTCCGGTCCCGTCAACGTGGTTTGAACGCACATCACTTCCGGTCCCGTCAACGTGGTTGGAACGCATGCAACTTCCGGTTTAGTCAACACAGCCGGAACGCATGGCACTTCCGTGCCGGTAGTTGTCGGAGGACTATTGAATAATTCCGAAATCAGCTGTGAACACTTGGAGCCGCGATCGGCAACAGATGAACCCTATTAATGGAGGACCAATGAGGAGAGTCTAAGGATAACATGTGACTGAATTAAGATGAGGGATTAGCCCTATTTAAAGGACTTTTCGGGTGGGGATTTGTTAGGCTGTACTTTGATTGTATGGTATCAAATTGTTTCTTAATATTGTGGTCCCTGAGGAAGTCCCTATTTTGTTAAAGGGACGAAACGCGTAGGACCTTATTTATATTTATTTTATTTATTTTTAAACACATTTTAATATTGAATTAAAGCCATTTTTCCAAACTTCACCCGGAGTCCTGTGTTGGAGTGAAAACATCCAGGGGATTTCCCTAGGCCCCCCATACTATCGGGGAAGGCACTTTACAAGCTTCAATTTGTCCAAAATCCAGTGAGTGCATTTCAATTTGCGCAATGTTTATACTGTAAACTGTATTACACTATATTCTCTCTATTTACTTTTGTAGAGATTATCAGCCGGTTCCCTCGTTGTTGTTTTTTCTACATTTTGCTGTCAAGTTGATCGCTAGCTGGGAAGCGATCTGAGGGAGGCTGTATTCATCTTCATTTGATAAGTATCTTTTGCATATATATTAAGGTGTATAAGGTACATTATTGTTGGCTGTTTTTTTTAGTTTGTCATATACATATGTAACAAGATTCAATAAATGTTGAAAAATGATAATCCTGAAGGCAATGAAGCAAACAAACTGCTGCTGTACCCATAATGCAATGACATGTATACCTGGCACAAACAAATTAATGTAATGTACGATTTTTCATGCTGTTGGCGAAATAAAGACTATATATGGAAAAAAAAAACCTTGGGGACCTGGCACAATTGAGCTGAAGTGGTCTGGGTCACTATAGTGTCCATTTACGTTTATTATCATTATCATTATCTACATAGTGCATGTTTTCTATATTTTTATTGGGTGTTTAAATATTTATGGGTAAATTATCACCATCTAGTACTAACCATTCCTCTATTAATATGGTGGTTTGCATTTGTATAAACATTACGGTAAAAAGGAATCAGGACTTATTATTATTATTATTATTGCCATTTATATAGCGATTCCGTAGCACTTTACAATATTATGAGAGGGTGGATTTAACTATAAATAGGACAATTACAAAAAACTTACAGGAACGTTAGGTTGGAGAGGACCCTGCTCAAACGAACTTACATTCTATTGTTCTGTGTGTTAAGAAAGAAACTAGACTGATTATGTTGAATGGGAGGTTAAGAGGTACACATTGCAGTGTGCATAATTGCCTATTTTTTGGTAAATAGTTTTTAATTTTAACTAAATGAAAAAAAATACATGTTAAAGATTAACATTTACCACACTAATAGGTGTATAAAATAGATGGTGTTTGAGTAGCCATCATAAATTCAGTGATTCTGTTTTTCTTAATTCAGTATATACAAAAAAAGTAAATTTGCAGTAAGAGGGGTAGACAAAACACTTTAGAAGTTTGTGGGTATATTATGTATAATTTTATACATATAATATTGATCTGCACCAAATTGTGTCCAGGCAATTTCCTGTAATAGTCCATTATTTTTTTCCCTTTTATTATTTAACACCTGGTATTAAATCTAACATCTATAGAAATAAAAAGCAAAGTCCTCTAAAAGGTCAGAAAATAGTGTTCTTTTCTGAAATTAGCTCCTATGCTTCAAGGCCACTTAATGGCCTTACATTGCAATTTACAAGAGAAAATGATATCCGTGGGAGGAGAATTTATACGATTTAATAATTCACAATAGCCCTTTTACCTATTGTTGGCGGCAAATGTTATTTCAATAAAAATGTTCTATAAAATAAATATTATTAATTAATAAAATGCAAGAACATGGGGGAAGTGTGATGATATAGAGATGGTCGCTGCAGCTGCTATGCTTCGTGGGCATTGGCTCGAGATTAGGAGCTGCTAATGGAGAATAAAGCTTTCTGAGAGCGGCAGGAGTGGGAACAGAAAAAGCGCTCTGCTGGAGTCAAAGCAGAGCAGTGGTCAGAGGCCACCAAGGAGCACAGGGACAATTTGCTCACCTCTTTTAGCCCCAGCCATCTGGCGGTGTGGTCTCCCCTCCTTGCGGTGTGGCTCTCCCTGTTCCTCCTCCCGCGGCACCCTCCCTGGATGGCCGCACTAGCGTGGATGGGTGCACCCGCCCTCTGGCTCAGCTGAGCCCAAGTGCCTCTACTAAGCCCAGTATAGAAGTCGCAGCCTGAGCCCGAGTTAGCGCCAGGTCCACGCGCCAGAGCCCTGGGGTCCTTCCCATTCTGGTGGCCGGTTGTCTTCCCCACGGTCGACCCGGGTGGCACATGGGATGCCACTCGTGGCTGGCAGTAGTGAGTAGGCCCCACTGCCGTCAGGCGGGGGGGGGGTTTCCCCGGGTTTCTGGTCCTCTGGGCTCTTCTCCCTCTATTTCTCCCGATGTTCTCCCCTGCTTTTGCCAGTGGGCAGTGGTGTATCCTGGTTTTACAGTAGCACCTAGGCGGGCAAAACTCAGGTGCCCAGCCCCTTAAACGCCCACCCCCAACCCGCTACGCCCCACCTTCTAAATACACACACACACAGTCAGACACACACACACACACAGTCAGACACAAGCACACACAGTCAGACACACACACAGTCAGACTTTTACGCACGCAGTCAGACACACGCAGTGCACACACACAGTCACACACACACACACAGTGGGGCTTTTGGCTTGCCACACATTCAGGCGCCAAACACACACACACACACACCGGTCACACACACTGCACAGTCCAGACACACACACACACACACAGTCAGACACACACACAAACACACACAGACACACACAGTCACATACACACACACACAGTCAGACACATACACAGACACAAACACAGTCAGACACAAACACAGACACACACACAGTCAGGACACAAACACAGATACACACAGTCAGACATACATGACACAAACACAACAGACAAACACACACACACAGTCACAAACACACACAGTCAGACACAAACACACACACACAGTCAGACACAAACACACAATCACTCACATTAACTTTTTTTTTTAATTTAACCCCCCCAACCTCCTTACCTTTGGGAGTGCTGGGGGGGGAGCACTTCCTCTGAGCGGTCTGCTCAGCTCCCTCACGCGCCGCAGAGTGAGGCTGAGAGCCGACTTGATGACGTCATATTCCGGCTCCCAGCCTCACTCTGCGGCGCGCGAGGGAGCTGAGCAGACCGCTCAGAGGAAGAGGTCCCTCGCCAGCCGCCTGCCCGCCCAGCAGCCAGCGCCGCCTGCCCAGCATGTCAGCCGCAGAAATGCCTTGTTTGCCACGCGGCTAATACGTCCCTGCCAGTGCGGTATGTGGGCTTCCCCTCTTCCGATGGCTGCTCTCGCTCCATCCCCCTTTCCAGCATCCCCCTTCCCTGTGGGGCTATCCCCCTCTTAGGTCAGTGGCCTCTCCTGTCCCTGTTTCCTCTGCCCCTCCATTTTCTTCCCCCCTCCTTTCTTCTGCTCAATCCCCTCCTCTTTTATCTCCCTCCCCTGCTCAGCTACATGTGTCTGGACAGTCCCTGGGCCCCCTTCTTCTTACCTGTTTCAGCAGCCTTCTGGTCTGGGGTGCGGGCTCACTGACTGTCCACTGCTTTCTCAGGCTTTGGGTGCGGTTGCCACATCTGTCCAGCAGGTGACATTTGAAGCTCCTGCGCACATGAAAGCCACAAGGATGTCTCAGGATTCAGTTTCCCAGGTTCCTGCTTCGACTTTGATGCCGCCGGCTGGTTCCAAGGCGCCATCAGGTGAGTCCTATTTTCCTTGTTGTCTGGGGCATCCACACTAGGTGGGTTAATGTTGGGGTTGTGGGGTCTCCTTTCCCAGTCGGAGTGGGGTGCACTGGCGCAGGGTCCCCAGAGGTTGGATAGTTAGCTGTGCTCTGTGTGGTCCCATTCTGTCCCCATGGTGAGTTCATACTCTCTCGTGGGGGCGGTGTGGAAGATGGGTGGCTCTGCCTCATCGGCCACACATCAGCAACCAGACTGTTGGAAATTTAATGACAGTCAATGCAAGTGGGGTGCATCGTGCCAGTTTAACCGGAGGTGGCGGAGGTGCCCATTTGGGTTCGCGATGTTTTAAGCGAGGTAAGTCAGGGGACAAGGGCAACCTGGGGGCTAAGGGCAATGCCGCCGGTGTGCGTAAGCGAGATGCGCCCCTGGCTCGGCCGTTATAAAAACCTTTGGGTGGCAGGACTGCTCCTGGAGGGTTTTGTACATGGGTTCTGGTTTCCCTTCTCGGAGAGCGCGCCCTCAGGGATGGCTCTGTACTTGAAGTCAGTGCAGGACTTTCCTCAGGTAGTTCTGGACAAGCTTCGGAAGGAGGTATCACTGGGGCGTGTGGCTGGGCCCTTTGGTGTTCCTCCATTGCTCAATTTGTGCATGTCCCCCCCAAGAAGGAGACAGGGAAATTTCGCTTAATTCATCATTTGTCGTACCCTCAAGGGAGTTTGGTGAATAAAGATATTTCTGCGGAGCTGTGTCGGGTGTCTTATGCATCGTTCAATGTTACTGTTCACATGGTCAGGGCGGCAGGCCCTGGGGCGTTGCTGGCGAAGGCGAATGTTGAATCTACGTTTTGCTTGTTACCTGTGCATCCGGACTGCCATCACCTCCTTGGTTGTGTTTTCGATGGACGGCATTACGTGGATATGTGCCTCCCAATGAGTTGTTCCATAT